CCAAAGAACAACAAAGTACGACAAGCTTCGACATCGCCACGCGACAAACGGCAATTACAACGTTAAAACTTGCACCGCTTTCGTTTGTTTGATTTTGTTACCCGTACATATTCAACTGTATTATTGCCCGATTGAGAGCATCCCGAGTGCAACGTACAACACCAACATTTCAGCGTCATCCTCATCCTCTGCCATGCCCTTGCCTGAAAATGTCCCGAACTGGACGTGTTAGCGTACGAGTAGTCGTGGAACGCCAGGTGTAGAAAACTGAGAGTGACCGCCAGCGCGTAGATCGTGTCGTCCGAGTACGAGACCGTCAGCGTTCGCAGCACCGGTGCCATGATCCTAACCGTTTTGGATCGGGGTGGATTGGATCAAGCGTCAACTCCTCTGCTACCGGAAATCACGTGGTGTTGCAAAAAAACGGGAATCGAACAACTACTTTGTCGTGTGAGGATAAAAAATCGTACAAAGGGTGCGCATAGTGACGAACAGGAGCTTCACAAGGAGGCAATCGCACACACAGATCGTCACACCACACCTCAGGATCGCGAGGAACAGGAAGAAAGAAGCCAGGGTGGAAGAGACGGAGGACAGCGAAAGGTCGTCCAAGCCATCCCCGTCGGCAAGGTCGGCCGCCGTCCGGGGCGAAGTGCCCTCGTCGTTGCCGAGCGGAACTCCCCCGCCGCCGCTGTCACCGCTACCACCGCCGGGGCCGCCGCGGCCGTAGGGATCATCACCCTTTGTATTATCACCCGAAATACACCAGCAAGTCACTGATTAGACGCGTCATGTGCTTCGTGGCATGCATTCGTCGGTTGTGTCGGACTCGCTAGCTGCCGTGAGGAGGTGCCGATGGTGTTTCAGCTTCGAGTCGCGAAAATCTCACGGGTCTACCAAGGAAAGCATCGAAGACGCCCCACGGCCGCGCTCTTCAGCGCTTCCCTACACCAATGATCCAATCACACGCGTTGCGGTCGCACTTTCAGGTGCCTCGTGGCGGGGCTCGAATGCCATTTCGCTACTGGAGCCGTTTGTTGTCCCCGGAAAAGAAGAGCACGCAAGACGAGGTCTCCTGGACCAGGATCAAAACGGATGTTCTAGGGTTAAGACAAGTACTATTAATAGTACGTTGGACAGTCCATTCGGGGGAACTACTGCTACCGCTCCGCTGGCGACGGAGGCACGCGGGGTAGAACTTGGCATCGTTCAATTGGACGGAGCGTTTCGTCTTCACGCTGAATATCGAAGTCTAACAGTCCCGCGCTGGGGAAAAGGCGGTCACCGCATGGTGTGCAAGGGAAGCACTTCAATGCCTAGTCTTGCGCCCAGCCGGGAACCGGGGAACATCAGGCGACAAGTGTGATAAAAATGCCTGGCGGGTCACGCATCATCAACACTGCACCCTTGTAACCAAGGGCTGGATGTTGCACAGTTGGTGTCAGCTGCCTCACGGCAAGAACTTCGCTAGGAGAAGTGTGCTGGAAGACAGAGCCCAGGTCCATCTAGCTGTTTACGGCTACCATTAGCCAACACAAGACGCGAAAGCACTAATAGCAGCAACATCAGCAAAAACGGCAGCATCAACAAACCCTGCAAATGGTACAACCAGCAACAACGGACAAAAACGCTCCAAACGGGTCACTGTCGACCATGCAACCCGAAACGACCCGAAACCAAACACGCGCACGTGGGTGAAACATTCAAGACAGGCAACTTCCCACCTCATATTTGACCCTACCCTTCGAGCGCGCCAAAGAACCGGGGGCAGCACCATTGACGCCACTGATGCCGGCATTGTTCCGTTTCGGAGACACGAGGAAAACCGTCGCGTAGCCGCCGAAGAGCAGCAAGAGATCGACCATAACCTTCCACCATCGAAACAAGAACACAACAACGTGGTCGCTGTCGTTTTTGGGGTTGTTGTAATAGATATTGTTCCTGGTGGAAGTGGAAGTGTCGGAGGCGGTGGTGTTCTCTGTTCGCAACAAAAAATACGTGCAAGCTTGCTGCAGATTTATGCGTGGATACGGGTCAATGTGTCCCTGTGTTGAAGCCCCACAGGCGCCGCGAGCATGTAAAAGCAAGATAAAAAAACATAAAATCAGACTACGCAAGCCTTAAGGGATCGACGAAAGCGCATGAGGGTACTAAAAAGTTTTCTTGTCGGTTGTTGTGCCACAATTATTGATCTCTCGTGGTTGGCATACAATAAATGGTTGAATGTTGAAGGTAGTTCGAAGAGAAAGACGGATGGTGTCGGCTGTCATTTATCCGTTGGCCCATCCGTCCCACACCAACATATAAACATTGACGTCAACAGCGCAAAAGGCATCATCACATCACACGGCAAACTGTCGTGTTACCGCCCACATGACCACTTAACCGAGAGACTTGCTGCATCAATACACAACCATTGACCTTACAAGTGCAATAGGCATCATCACGTCATACGATAGGGTGCAAACTGCTGCCTTTAAGACCGTGACCACTTAACCCACGACCCTAACCCCAATGACCCACGAGATATGAACCATCGTCAGCCAAACGCCATAACGACGGCGCGAGACATGTAATATATAGCTCCCCGCCATGGTCTCATGAACAACCCCACCAGCCCGCGAAAATCGGTTTGATAAAACCTCGATCGAGCTGACCCCCCCCCCCCCC